TCTTGCTTGTTGCCAGTGTTCATCTGAACTTAAACTGAATGCACTATACTGAGTAGCTTGATGTGCTTTTTCAGCATAATTTATATAGGCTATCCCCATGTAAACATTTTACCTGTTTTAATTTTGTCTGGAAATGTAATGGAAGTGCAGCCGTTCCAATTGGTGCAACTCTGTGTGCTAGCAGAGCTGATATTAGTAAATTGGAATGCAATGTGCCCCGTCTTCAGTTTTTATACACAACCCTAGTCAATCATGTAGCTGAGTGCATGGTAGTACTGCAGCCCAATTTCTTGGCTGCATTGGCATCATACATCTGAAAATGTAACTTCAAGGACCAGACATGACTTTTGCAAGCACAGTTACTGACATTTGTATCTGGTCCCCCTTTTAAATGGTTTTAAGAAATTTTGTATATGGAGGATAAAGTGCTTATATATTTATTAAAAATCCTTTATCTTATTTGAAATTATTATTATTTGGTGAAGAAGGGTTTTTTTTTTCTTTTTGGGGAGGGGGGGGAAAGTAACTTTTAATCCATCACTTATAAATGAAGCCCTTACTAATCATACAGGAGGTACTGTTAATGACTGATGGGATGTCTCTATTTTACGCTTTGTACATGACAAGTCCATGTCTTATGTTTTGTTTCTATCAAAATATTTAGGCATCTGTCTTCAACCAAAACTTAAAAAAAAATACTGTGATTTTATTTGTTGCAATACAGATGAAATTTTGAAGGGTACTTTGGGGCTCAAAATTAGAATTTCTAAGTCAGTATGTGCATTTCACGTAATAAAGCTATTAATGGTGAGCAAAGTATTATATACTAACTAGATTTTTCCACATCTGTATAGTATATTCTATGTATTTTGTGGTATTGAGATTATAGAAAGTTTAGTGTCTGAAACATGCGTTTAATGTGTATTTTTAAACAAATTTATGGCAATTAAAATATTTGGAGAAAAGGGTATCACATTTCAATTTGTAAAGAACTTTTTAACTACTGTGTCATTAAAATGCTTTGTACAATGCAAAACTGTAACTGGAGAAACTAAGTTTAATAAAATATCAAATAGATTTTTCTGTATTAAACTTTACAAACACCGTGCTTGCATCTTCTGTATGGCTTCCTCCTCAGTGGAATTACATTGATAAAACTCCACAGTTTTATCTTGGGTTTGCATATTCTAGCAAGTATATTTGTTGATCTATACCCCCCCACACCCCTTCCCTCCGCCCACCACAACAGACTTACCAGCTGGAGGCAACTGTGTCCAGCGTGGTTGAGGACTTCTGCCTGTTTAGTTTATGGCCAAATCTGCACCAAATCTCTGGATCAGAATCAGCCAAATCAAATCGGGACAGTGATTCGCATCACCAAATTGAATCACCGTCCTTCCGAATCAGCCAAATCCAAAGCAAATACTTGCTGCTTTGCATAGGCCTACTGCTGGGCCTTGCAATCTGCCTGCAAAATCAGGGGGAAGCTTCCTCAAATTTGGTAGGTCCCTATGTGTATGTGATTGTCTCTGAAATGATGACAGTAAGTTGATTAAGTCTGAAAGTGTAACTGAATGAAACCTGTTTTTGCTCAGTTTCTTTAGTAGTAGGTCAGGGGTGGGCAAAATATGGCCTGTGGGCTGAATCCAGCCCACCAGGTTATTCTGTCCGGCCCGCAGGGCCCCTAAAAATTTTAGAAAATTAATTGCAGGGAGGCAATTAGAAAGGCCAATGCAACTACAGAGCTGAGGCTGGCAATACAAAGACAACAAAAAGTCTTTTTTTAGGTATGTAGGGAGTAAAAGGATGGCTCAGGGCAGCATATGACCCCTACTGAACAAGAAGCAATTAGTGACAGAGGGGAGACAAAGCTGAGCTATTCAATTAGTTTTTTGCCTCAGTGTTCCTGAACAGGGCTCAAGATAAGTCTCCTAACGGGTTCTTAGATGATGAGCATCAGAGGGACACCAGCCCACCAACTGTCGATGCTGACTTTGTGCAGTCACTTGGATGGACTGGATGAGCTGCATCTGAGGGTACTGAAGGAATTGGCCAGTGTCATAGCAGAACCACTAGCACGGCTGTTTGAGCGTTTGTGGCCCTCGGGTTAGGTCCCGGAGAACTGAAAAAGGGCCAATGTGGTCCCTATTTTCAAGAAGGGGGGAAGGAGGATCTGAATAATTATAGGCCAGTCAGTCTCACCTCCATCCTTGGAAAGGGCTTTGAAAAGATTACGAAGGATCATATTTGTGGGAGTCTAGCAGGAAAAATAATGCAGCAGGGAAACCAGCATGGATTTGTAGCAGGTACATCATGCCTGACCAATCTGGTTTCGTTTTATGACAGGGTCACAAAATGCTTAGACACAGGAGTAGAGGTGGATATCGTTTTCTTGGACTTTAGCAAGGCCTTTGATACAGTATCTTATCCTGTTCTCATAAATAAATTAAGAGGCTGTGACACACATGTTTACACGGTGGCAAATTGGCTTAGTGGTTGCACCCAGAGAGTGGTAGTAGACGGGTCGGTATCGATCTGGAAGGATGTGGGTAGTGGGGTCCCGCAGGGTTCGGTCCTTGGACCTGCACTTTTCAATATCTTCATCTGTGACTTGGATGTGACTGTGAAGTGTACTCTGTCTGAGTTTGCGAATGATACTAAATTGTGGGGCAAAGTGCACACTCCAGAGGGTAGGGAACGATTGCAGGCAGACCTGGACAGGTTAGAAAAGTGGGCAGTACACAATAGGATGTGGTACAACACGGATAAGTGCAGAGTGCACCTAGGGCACAAAAATATCCAGCACACCTACTGGCTGGGAAGTGACCCTTTCAGCAGCACAGAAGCGGAAAGGGATCTCAGAGTCGTAGTGGACTCCAAGATGAACATGAGTCGTTAGTGTGATGAAATCATCAGCAAAGCTAACTGCACTTTATCATGCATCAACAGATACATGACAAATAGATCCAAGGAGATGCTCCTCTGAGGCATTGGTAAGACCACAGTTGGAGTACTGCATCCAGTTTTGGGCGCTATACTTCAAGAAGGATGTTGATAGACTTGAGAGGGTCCAGAGGAGACCACTCGTATGGTTAGGGGCTTACAGGACAAGCCCTGTGAAGACAGACTGAGGGACCTGGACCTCTTCAGCAAGAGAAGGCTGAGAGGTGATCTTGTGGCCACCTACAAATTAATTAGGGGGACGCAGCAAGGGATAGGAGATGCTCTGTTCACCGGGGCGCCTCTTGGGGTAACAAGGAACAATGGTCACAAACTGACAACAGATTTAGGCTAGATATCAGGAAAACCTTCACGGTAAGGGTGACCAAAATTTGGAATGGGCTTCCAAGGGAGGTGGTGTTCTCCCCTACTGTGGGGGTCTTTAAGAGAAGGCTGGATAGGCATCTGGCTAGGGCCATCTGACCCCAGCACTCTTTCTTACCTAGGCAGGGGGTCAGACTCGATGATCTGTTGAGGTCCCTTCTGACTCTAGTATCTATGAATGACCACCCCCTATCAAAGCTTCCACCCAGGTCCTGATTTGACACTCTGCAGACTGTGACTTGCAGGGGCAGAACTAAACAGCTGGAGCAGCAAGTTCAGTCTGGCCCTGCACCCCTCTTCCCCCCCCCCCCCCCCCCGCAAGCCTCTGCCTAGCAGGGGCTTCTGGAGGCTCCAGCCTCCCTGCACCAAGGGAAATACAGGTAAGGAGGGGCAGGGGAAGATCGCGGACAATTGCCTGAATCCTCAGAATCAGCTGGGCTGGCTCCTGTGGTCCCAACACTGCATCTGGGAACCCTGTGGTGCTGGTGTGTGGCAGCCGGGGGAGAGTGGGGAAATGGTTGTGGCAGGAGGGGGAAGGGGCAGTGAGCGGGTGCGCAGAGTGAAGGAACAGCCGGTGGGAGTGTGGGGCCAGTGCCAGTGGGGCCCAGAGCGGGGCAGCAGGAGCCCTATGGAGCCAGGATGGCTCTCCACTCTCCCTGCTTAAGCATTGCAGCCTGGCTCCATAGAGCCCCTGGCAGCCTGGCCTCACGCTCTGCCAGTGCTGGGCCTGGTGCACTGGTGTGGGCCCTGTGCTCCTGCCCAGCTGTCACTGCACTCTGTGTGCCCGTTTGCTGCCCCACCCCCTGCCTGTCGCAGCCATTTCCCTGGCCAGCACCACATAGTTCCCAGCTGTAGGGTACCTGTCAAGGGACGGGGCTACCTATGCGGCCCTCGATGGCTTGCCAAAACTTGATAAGCAGCCCTCCACTTAAAATAATTGCCCACCCCTGAACTAGGTTCTCTCTTCCAAATCCATTGGAACTGCTGGAGTATTGATGGAATTGGCTGTAGTATTTTGAGATTCTTATTTAATAGTTTGCTTGCTCTCTTTTCAGAAGGGTTACTTGGTTGAGCTGTTGGCTGTATTTGTCAGGGGTTGGATTACTTTATGCACTTGATTACTTCAGGTAAATCTGATATCTTTTATTAGACCAACTCAGATAGTTGGACAAATTCTTCTTTGCAAGCTTCCAGGTATAAATACCCTTTATCATGCTGAGGAAGTCTCTGCAGTTGGTGTGTGCTCTTCCTGGATGGAATGACTAGTAAAGAAGCCAGAGGCTCGTATGCACTGGCTGGCTTTCTTGCATGCAGGCCAGCCTCTGGCTTCTTTACTATTCCTTCCATCCAGGAAGAGAGCGCACACCAACTGCAGATGCTTCCTCAGCCCGACGAAGGGTATTTATACCCGAAAGCTTTCAAAGGAGAATTTGTCCAACAATTTGAGTTGCATTAATAAAAGAGATCAGATTCACCCAAAGAACCTTGTCTGCCTATGTGCTTAGACCAACATGGTTACAACCTGTATCCTTGATTACTTCATGCACATGCCTAAACTAAAGGGCATTAGTCCATAGGTAAGCTTCACATGCACACACTCCATTTGAAAGGCCTCCTTGACATGTACCCACAGTGTGACATTTTTTAATGCATGACAAAGTAAGTTTGTTTGCTGAACACAAAATTTTAATTTGCATAAAAATATGTATAATACAAACAATATAAAAACCTGAGATGCAAGGTCTTTTACTGAGCTTGGCCCAAGTCTCATCTTCTGGCATGCTTGGGAGTGGTGCAGCTCTGTCCAGTGTATGCACTTAGTCTTCCTGAAGTTCCTCGTTAGTTCTGGCACAAATACTAAATATATGCCATTACATAAGTCAATGTCCTAACTCAGGGCAGTTTAATAAATATTTCACGTGCCGAGTGGGGCCTCATCGGAGGTAAAAGCAATGTTTTCTTTTCCTTAGTGACAGATCATTCCCGGGAAGTTCTTAAGGAACAGTGGCTCTTCCTGCAAAAAGACACAGTATCAGGTAAAGACCCAAGTTGACAGTTATCTAGATATCACAGCACTATGCATTTAATATTACTTGAATATAAAGTAAACCTGTTGTGCTTTCAGTAATTCCCAAATCTTACTGTTCTTCTCTTCTTGAAAGCACGCTGTTAGTGACTGTCATTGGTACGGAGGCTTATAGGAGGTCTCTTTCAAATATGTATTCCAAAAACTGATGGCCTGAACTCAGTTTCTCTCCACATGAAATAATGCCAGCTTCAGTCTGCCTTTATATGTGCATGTGATCTTTAGCAAATGACATGCTGTCTGCAAAATACATTACCACAGCAGTCGAGCGATAGGCGATGCTAAAAGTTTGAAAATCTCTTCTGTTTGTATCTCTGTACTGCTCTTACCTTTCTGAGGCAAGTGGCCACTAACCTACAATGACCTTTCTTAAATGCATGTTAAAATAGGAACTTGAATACTATTTCTTACATTAAAGGCATGTCTATTTGTTGCCCGGTAAGGAAGTTGATGTGCTGTCAGCACTGTCCTCTTTTTTCAAGGCAGGAGAAGAGTATTGGCTGTATGGCTGCTAGTCTCAGCTCTCCTGTATAAGTCAGCCTTCAGTTAACACAGTATAACTTGTGTTTATTGGAGGGGAAGGGGTTGATGTAAATGGAAGAAACGGGAGTTGGAGATATAGTCCATCCAGCAGTAGGTGTCAGCTTGGACTAATCCATGTTTGCTGTGGATTTCATAACCCTTCCTCACATCTCAGTAGAGTAGGCCTGCTCTGCTGAGGAAGCGCTTTTAATAAGCATATGTTTTCAAAGGGACAATGTCATCTTAAGGGGGACATATTTTAAGACCTGAAAGCAGGCAGTTAAGTCTCCTCCTAGATTCCAGTACTTTTGTCTTTTTTCAATAACATCTTTGCAGCACAAACCAAAAAGACCCTGCCAGGTCCTTTTCCTCTGCATGCCTCACCTAGGCCACCATGCTGCTGCACAGCATTTGCACTGATTTGGAAAGATGACTAAACCCTTGTGATCATTCTTTCCATAAAGAATTAATTTAATTTCTCGAGTACTGTAACATGGTGGGAGGTCCCTTTGCACAGCAGGGCGGGGGCAGCATTCCTGTACTTTTGCAAATGAGGAACATAGAAGTTACCTGCATAGCATTGTGACGCATTCGATGTCATCCCTGCAGGAGGCTCCAATGGGTCTGAGGGAGGAGACCCCTCTCCAGAAAGGTGTCATCCTTCTTTGCCTCTTTGGTTGAGAGTTTGGCTGATGCAAGGATGCACAGTGTATCTGAAACAAATGGAGTGCAACTCTCATGAAAGGAACAGCAGCTACATTCCATGTTCCCCAGAGCATTTTGTTACAACATCTAACTAGGCTAGCACCTAACGGTTTTCAAAGACTTGGCAGAGTCAACAGCCATTACAAAATAATGATTCTTACTGAAGGTATAATCATCTGGTATCTTTGTAAAGCACTAGTTAAAGGCTAGCTAAGCGTCTTAGCAGTTTGGGAAAAGAGGCAGCACCCTTGCTTTCTAGGGCCGGAAACAGACAGACAGACAGACTACAATACTTGCCTAAATTCACAATGTCGGCATGTGAGCTGAAGAAAATAGTTATTCTACTGCCTTGACACTACTAGCTCATGCTACTTCAGTTGCTGAAGTAACAAATATGCTACTGTTAGCTCTAAATACTGCAGTCATTTTGTACATGTAATCACTCACGCTTTCATGTCAGTAACTGCCTGACCATTTGCATTCAATAGCTTAAATGTTTGTTTCCTCCTGTTTTGTTCTTACCTGGCTCAGGAAGGCTGAACAAAGCAGCATGACTGCTATAACTTTCAACCAGTGCATCTTTGGATCGGCTCTTGCTTGCCAAAGGAGTCTCTGAAGGTTCTGGAGTCCTGAATAAAATTACTCCAGCTTCCAGTTAGACTTTTATACTCCCTTATCCTACTGCTGCATCAGCGCTCAGTTGTTAAAGGGACAAAGTTCATCTTGAAACAGGAGAGATTTAATAAGTTAATGTCTACTAAAGTCATATAGTTCAAGGCCTTATCCATCTGTCTGTTTACTTTTCTGACACATGTACTTTGTATGTTCAGCTTACCAGATGTGCTGTTCCTTTTTTTTCAATCTTAAAGGGCTCCCAGTATTCCACGGTGTACCTTTAGCCAAAGGGTAGTTGGCCATGCGCTATAGTAGGGATCAAAGAGGGTTCACTTCCACAGGCTGTGGCACTTGCAGCTTTGGGTTCCTTAAACTTACTTATTTAGCATATGCAGTTTTGGCATGTTTCAGCCATCTTAAGGCAATGTCATCGCCAGCGTGAAGAGCTTGAAGGCCACCAGGTAGCAGTGTAAATGGACACAAGTCAACAATGTAGGGCATGGTTTGGACTTGTCCACAAGCATTTCTTGTCACTGTGAAGGCCTCATTGGTATAGGTTTGAGGCACAGTGACCATGTCAAGTTTGAAACCAGTTGAGAAATGCCCAATAATGGCATAGCCAGTTAAACCCTAGTTGATCGTCTGTAGGGTCAGAGATGATGTGGTGATTGATTGGTGCTTGTGCTGACCATTCCTCCTGCCACTGACTAAGGAAAAGTCAGGTTTTGCAAGGGTGGACCATATTGGGTATCTTGAGGGAAGCTGAGCTTTATGTGGGTAGAATATGTCCCAGTGTGCTGGCACCGTAGGATTATCTGGGATTCTGGTACCCTGGGAGTAGAGTGGGGTGCAAGGTGCCTGATGTAAGACTCGCTGTAGCATGCAGTTGGGTGTCCGCTAGTTTGCTGTATGATGATGAACAAGCCCATACGGGGGGCACAGTATTCTGCAACTGAATAACACAGCGTGAGAGCAGATGAATGTAGCATGGAGGCATTAGCACTCCAATAGAGGCTGCAAGTTTGGCAAGTAATTATTCCTTGTTTTGATTTTTAAAGCAGTTTTGTGGAGATGTAATTTATAAGTTAAAGTCCAGTTGAGGGCAACTCCAAGATTATTTGCCTCTCAGATTCAAAGCCCACACAGGTTAAAAGCTCCCTGAGCTGAGAAAGTAGGAGGCCTTGCTGGCTCCTGAGCAGATAACCCTCTTCTACAGCTTTGAAAAGCAGATTTCTGTAAAGCTGCTTTTCAAAGCTGTAGAAGAGGGTTATCTGCTCAGGAGACAGCAAGGCCTCCCACTTCCTCAGCTCAGGAAGCTCTTTACTTTACCTCTCAAAGGAAAGGAAATATCCAGTAGTTTATGATGGGTGGGAAGTCATTGGGTTTTGCTTCTCTCATATGAAATCTTGAACCAAGTCTCTCTCCTTGGAGATTAAATAAGACACACTGGCTTCCTCATTAGAATATTGAGGGGAGGAATACTACTTGGTACTAGTGTCTGTGCTTCAGATCCCTGAATTATAGTGCAGAATAATACATGTTTAATATGAGGGGAGTTTGGTTTTGTGGGCATAGTAAGAAAAGGAATTGTTACTTGTGCTGTGTCCTACCCCCTACAGCTAAGTGATGCAATGAGTTTAAGAGCAGTGGAAGTTAATTTGTTAGAGGCAATTGTATAAGGATGGCTTTGACCTCCAGTTAGCCCAACTTTCAGCTCAAACATGATTTCTGTAAAGCTGCTTTTCAAAGGAGTAGAAGAGAGTTATCTGCTCAAGAGCTAGCAAGGTCTCCCACTTCCTACTGAAGGAGTTCTTTACTTATAAGTACTCTGCAACAATGTTTCATGGGGACTGCTTTGATGAACTAAATGAATTGATTTCTACCATATTTGAATTGTGGTACTTGGCTGAGACTGAAAGCTGAGGGAGATCTAAATAGCCTTGTCTTCTCTTCCCTTCCATGACCTCCCTTTCTTAAACTAACACTTCAGATGGTGGGGTGTCCCCAAGAGTTGTACAAAAGACCCATTAAAAAGGTGATGCTGGGAGAATATTCCTGCCCCCACTCCATGGTTGTATCCCAAGTCTGCTCTGGAAGGGAGCCAAGTACAGTTCCCTTCGGTAAGGTGGATTAGCAGTGTGCAGGAAGCAAGTCAGACCTATGAGGTTGTTTTTTTTGTCTGGGAGGACAGGTCTACAACAGGGAGGCAAGTAAATAGTGAAATTCACATTTCTTCCCTTTTCCTTTTAAAAATCCATGTTGGAGGCAGAAGGACAAGTCAGATGAGTGCACAACCTCCTCCCGAGTGACAGTTTGCTTGCGTGCTCTTGGCTTGGCAGTAAACATCTCTCTGTGCATGCAACAGTTTGGCTCCCAGGTGCAATCTAGGTGGGCAGGAGGTGGATGTAGTAAGAGGTAGGATTTAGAGCAGTTGTCTTCAGCCTTTTTAAGGTGAAGATAATTTTTTGAAGTAAAGGGCAATCCAGGATCTACTGCCCTGCACCACCCTGCAAGTCAGTCTGTTTGGAGAAGGAGAAGACACACAAGTGGGGCCCTGGCTGGGCCAGAAGTCAGAGCCCAGGCACAGTGTGCAGATGCATGGGGGCACCTCTCACTGCTGCATGCACCCTGGCAAGGCGCAAAGCCTAGCATGCAGCAGCAGGTGCCTTGCACACAGATCAGGAGGGCATGTGCCCCCCCCCCCCCCCCCACACATTCGCCGGGCCCCGCACCCCCAATTTGCCTAGGCTCAGACTCTCCCCTGGTTTGGCTGGGGCTCCACTCACCTGGTAGCAGCAGACACAAAGGGGGACTGGCCCACTCACCCAGCCCAGCAGGTACAGCTCAGCCCAGCCATGTGTGTCCCACTGCTTATACATCCTGCCACTCTTGGACTGTTTCATGTTTCCTGCCACTCCCAATTGCAGAGCCTCTGACAGGCTCTCTGTCTAGAGGGCCTAGCCCCCCCCCGCAACTGAAATCAACAGTCAAGGGCTCCACAAAATTGCCTGGTTGGTGACCACTGATTTAGAGACTGCAAACTTGTGTGAAGGAAATTCTTAACCCATTCCCTGGTCCTGATTTTAGGAACAATAAGGGTTCAAGACAGCACAGTCTGCAAAAACAGGTCTCAGTTCTTGTGGGCTGGATGCTACTGTACAAAACTATACAATACATGTAAAAAGCTCCAGCGTGGAAAGTAGGCACCTGATAGCCTTGACCTAGGCTTCCCTAATTGCTTAATATGGGAGGCACTTCAGAGTGCCAGTACAGAAGAAGCAACTTGATTAAGATAATGCCACGTTGTAGGCCTGGTACTATACTGATAAGTGCTTTTTATCCTAATGTTGCTAAGGTTTAGTAGAAACCACTGTACCTTGCTCCATGTGAACATTCTGCCACAAGGTGGCTTTTTTTTAGGCCAGTGCCCTTTGGCTGCCACGTCTTTACTTCCTGCTATATCCTTTTCCTGCAAGCGAGACTTAAGTCTCTTATACTGTTTATGTCTGGGCCTACTGTAGTGGGGATCAGTTGGCAATTAGGGCAGGTCAGATGTGGTTATACCCAAAGCAGCTACTTCTGCTTATAGCAGCTCTATGAATATTCTCCCATGGGACACAGCCCCTGCTGACTACTATTTATAGTAATTCTGAAGAACCCAAGTAGCTGGTTACTTACCAGCTGTTCTGAACAGAGAGCAGCAGCTAAACTCCAGTGCTTTGGGTGTGGATGGAGCTTGGGGTCTGGAAGAGCAGTCATCACCGTCATGTTAGTATTTACATCCTGTGCAAGTTGCTTTTTGCCTTCATCACACCATTTGCTGTTTGTCCCTTCTTGGGAAGCATCAGCTTCCTGTTTACAAAGGCAGGAGGATGTGCTGGTGTGTCAATCATGATAGTAACCCCCTACTTGTTCTTTAGTTACACCCTGCAATTAACAGCAGCCTTGCTACTCCCTCTGCCCTGCCACAAGATAATTAGTATAAAAGGCCCCTAATAGAGAGAGTTGGGCAGGATGCACAGCAACTTGAACTAAGCTTTCTCTGTGGGCCTCAGAAATGCACCCAGAAAATAAAACCCAAGAGCTAACAGAGCAAGTGTAAGAGGGCAGATAGGGCGGCAGGGTGCATTGGGCCAGAAACAGGAAGGATTCTGGGCCTTGTGTGTTTGTGTTCTAAATCTAGAGCTTTGAAGCTCCCCCAGTTCTCACCAGTAAACCTCCTTCCACTGGACATGAATGGAAGCTCCCCAGTTGTGCCAAGCACCAAGCCCTGGTGGGATTTGCAAGCTATACAATCCTCCTCTGCTCCCATGTTCAGGACTTGCTCTTGGAATATGCTTATACAACTGGTGCTATGTAAGAGCACAGCTGAGTGGTAAGACCACACACATGGTCTGTCCCTCCACACCAAAGCTTTGTGGAGCTAGCCCAAGGCCAGATTTGAAGAGGGGCCACTAAGAGCTCAGTAAAAGTCACTTTGTGAAGTGCTGCTTGAAAAGGATATTTTATACCTTTTCCTCCATTGTGCTTATAAAAAGCCAACCAAGCCTGTCATTTAGATTCTGAAACTTAAGATGGAAAGGGGGAGCAAGATCCTCTAGGCTGCTGAAATGTTACAGAAACAGCCTGTGTTTTCACTAATAACAGACCTCATAAGTACTACAGATGCTGCTATCACTCAGTCTTATTATTATAGCCTTAAGGGCTTCCTGCTACTGTTCTAGTCCTAGTTACCTGATCCTAGTTTAAAATCCACCTTTGAAGAGCTCTGACACTTTTTTCCCCAGTTGCTGTTGCTTGTTCTTTTTGTCCCTATGGTTCGGAAGGTTTTAGACAGTTTCAGGTCCTTAGACTTGATCCCCCTCCACCCCAAATTAGGTTACCTGAGCACAAGATTAATGACACAGGAATTAGCATTAGCTGACATGGTGGCTTAGCACTGAAATCCTGTTTCTACTAGATGCAACTTTTCTCCCTCATAGCAGAAGCTGAAAGGGACTGTACAAACCCCTTGAGCCAAGGCTATACTAAATGCCAGACTCTTAAGGGATTAAATGCCAAACTCTTACGGGATTACATACAACCTTAGCTCCCAGCAGATTAATTAAATAAGGAAACAAATGAATCAGTTTCACCTAGGTTTCCTTGAGCTTCACATATATAAAGAGGAAAAAAAAAAAAACAAGAATGAAAGGCAAAAAGCCACCCTGCCCATATCCATAGCTTTGTTTCAGCCCTGGGCACCCAAGGTTCATCATTTAGTTAGTCTTTTAGGTGCATCTACCCTGCCTTCCGCCTGACTTCAGACTATTACAGCTAACTACCTCTCTCCAGTCATTCCAAAGGCAGGAACTGGCATTCAGTTTCCCTAGGGAGAGCAGTCTCAGCAGCTAAGGTTAGCCTTAGTCACTTTACCATCCATAAAGGACTGATGTTAGCCGAGAACAGAGATGGGGCGGGGGGGAGACAAAGTCCCCAAACTGGAACCAAATTTATTGTCTTGAACATGTAAAGCCCCTTGAACATTAGCTTTGCCAAGAATGCTAAACTACCATGGACAGGGATGAGAAACAGTGTGTTCTGGTTACTTTTTAAAGACCAACAACCCGGCAGTGAAAAAGCCTGGAAAGCAGCAAACTTTGCACCCAAGTCCAGCTTTAATTTATGCGCCATAAAACAGGAATTTCTTTATCACTTAATCTTGTGAGAACCTCCTTTGTCCATGATAAGTGCTCAACCCCCAACCCCTGGGTTATTCAGCCTGGGAGGGGGGCTTCCCCATGGATCTGCAGGCCTGCCCCCCCATCAGCTGTGGCCCTGCCTGCTAGATTGAGCAGACAAGGTGGCACAGAGCCTGGCCCCAATGCAGAGCCCACACTTAGTGCATGGGGCTGGGTTGAGGCAGTGTAGGGCCGAATCCAGCCTGCAGATGAGCCCCATGCCACTCATCTGGCCTGCAGGATGAAAACCTTGAGCACTGCTGGTCTATGAAGACAAAGTACCTTTCTGGGACCGAACAGGACATGTGGTCTAGATTAGCACAACCCTCATACCTTTCTTCCTGAACATGAGGACAAGGACCTGTTAATTACTATAACCTTTCCCCCGCCCCTTAGCCAAATTCTACCTTCACTTTAAAGCCCACTGGCCAAGATGACTTATTCTGGTTTAACCCACACAAAAGCTTTTTGTGGGACCCAAGTTATTTAATCTCCAAATGCAGTTGGTGCAATCTAGCAGGAAAATGCGCAGCTCTGCAACTAATTTGCACTTTTTTCATGCTGCTGCGAGTGAGAAAAGGTGCCAATGAGCAGAAACAAGAGGAGTCTCAGTGGCCGATTACTGGGGTGCTGGAGCTCGCCTTCAGGCCACTGCGTCACGTGGTCCACGCGCCCGCCGAGACGGACAGCGCCCTGCTTGCACTCAAGTGTCTGGAACAGGCTCCTTGAAGCAGCCGTCACCACCATATGCTCTTAAGCAAAAAAGTTTGGATTCAGCAACCAGGGGTGCCCAGCCTTTTCACCCTGGGTGCCAGCCATCCACAGACTGGATGTGGCTGGTGGGCCAAGCCCCACCAAGCAGGCAGACATGGGGGGAGGAAGTCAGTCCCACCAGGTAGAGGGGGCAGCCCAGCCATGTGAGGTGCAAGGATGTGGCTGGACCCCAGCCCACCTGCACAGGAGGAAAGGGACAGGACCCTCCAGTTGAGGAGACGATCCAGCCACAGGGGGCCTGGCCCAGCCCCCAGGGAATCAGGCAGCAGGGGAGCAGCAGTGGACCCTGCTGCCCCAATTCCCCACCTGAGGGGACATGCAGCTGGTGGGACAATGAGCAACACAGGAGGCGCAGGTCAGGTTGAGGCTTTATTGTGGGGGCTGTGGGGGCTGCCCCATGCATAAGGGCCGCGCTCACTCGTCATTCACGTAGTCCGCTGGGTTCTTCCTCTTCAGGCGCTGCTCCTCCTCTATGGCCCATGAGTACACCGCGTAGCCCGCCAGGAACACTGCGGGCACAGACGGGCCGGTTGAGGGCCGGGGAGCGCGAGCGCGGGCCCAGCCTCCTCCTCCCCCGCCCCCGCCCCCGCACTTACGCGGCGCCACGCGGAAGACCTGGCCGCGGAAGCGGCGCCAGAGGTTGGGGAGGCCGACGCTGAAGTACTTGGCGAAGGGCCGCTGCTCGAAGGGCGACAGCGTGTAAGTGATGATATGCCGCACGTAGGCCAGGCGGCCGAACTCGGGCCCCATGGCGCCGCCCTGCAACGACACGACCGCGTCACCGCCCGCCCGGGCCGCGCAGGAGAGGGCAAGGCAGGACAGGGGGAAGGCCGCGCCGCCCCCGGCCCCACTCACCGCTCACAAGCTCTGCAGATATCGGACGCCTGCAAAGGTCACCTTTTACTGCTCCGCCCTACGCCACTTCCGCTTCCGGGGCATGGGGCAAGCTCTGCCTCCTTCCCACCGCGGGGCCAGTGAGGGGCGAGGCCACACCCTCCCTGGC